GCAGTGCTCTAGGTAACTCTCGAAGATGGCAAGTTGCAGGGAAGGTGCTGGCCTGTATTGGTAGATGGAGTTTCCTCATTGTAGAGCTCCTCATACTAATGAAATCACAGGTTCCCTAACCCTATCCTATTTTAATCATGCAATTTAAAAATTATTGCTATCTTTTGTTTTTGTATTGCCTTCATTACCAAAAACATCCCTCCCATAGCCAGACCACCATCCCTTGTTAAAAAAAAAAAAAGGTGGGGGAGGTTGGGAGAAGAAAATGTAATTCATCAAAACTAACCAATGCAGATTTAATGTGACAGAACACATGCTGCCCGGCCCTGCAGTTCCCTACATCTGCAAAGACGGGAAGGAGGTGCCCTGACTCATTTACTTTGAAAGTTTTTATTGCTCAATGTTAAATCTGCATGTGTGCCTGTGTATACAAGTATATGTGTGTATGAGTCCACTGTTTAAACTTGTGTATGCTGGTATATCAGGTATTAATTTGTTTTGGCAGAGTATTATCCTTAACAAAACAAAACAGGGGAGGGAATGAATTTAAGGAGTTAGAAAATTGTTTCTAACTCTTTATAGGAGGAAAAAAAATAGGGGGCGGGGGGGAAGGGAGCCCTTCAAGAAATTCTAGCAGTCTAGAGTTAGAATGAAAAAAGAACACTGACTATGTCTTGGAATTAGGAACGGCTTCTCTGGCTTTAACTAGTGTGAATTGATTTTTGGATTATAAAATTTGAACTAATAATTTCTGCACAGAGAGAAATAATGTTTCACTGCCCAAAGTCTACTGAGGTGAAAGCTACATGAACATGACCTGTTTTTGCAATGATGACAAGGGTTTGTCTATATGAAGGGTTTCTCTTTATGTGAGATCCTGAGGCATCTGAACTACTGGAATGTGGTTTGGTAAATGCCATTATGTGTACCATCTTTAACTACATTTTACATTTTAGTTTGATTAACTGAAACTCTATACAGATTCAATTCTGCGATGTATGAACTTGGACAACTTTAAAGCAAAACTGGATATAAAGTTGGGTACTTATAAGATTTTAATTCAACTATTTCATCATTTAGGGCTATATTTGGTTTTCTTGTTTTAGAATGAAAATATCTCGACTGAAGCAGAGCGCTGGGCAGTCAGGTAAGACCTGAATTCAAGTCCTCCTGACACGGACTAACTGTAACATCGGTGAATAAGTGAGCCTCAGTTTTCTCATTTATAAAAGAAGGCTGCAATTTCCTATAATAACTAGCTGACCAAGTATTATTAGGAAGTGCTTCACAAACCCTGATATGCCTGTAAATGTGAGGAGTTAACCTCATCACTGGCATATAAGATTGTTGTTACCATGGAAGGTGTTTGGTGGGAAATGGGACCTAATTCACGTAGGTGCTGAAAAAAGAATTTAATGCTATGCTCGATGGTAGGTTTAAGAAAGCCACAATGTGGCTCTAGTACGAGAACAGGTGTGCTGTATTTCATCTGTGTGAATAATGTAGACACACACAGAATGCAATTATGTTTACGGACAACCGTCAACAAGTATTTATTAAGCACCTACTGTAGGTTTAATTATATCATTAGAGCTGTGGCTACAGTGGATGGGCATGATGTCTGACAGTGCTTAGAGTACCCATGATAGGTTTATCTATTTAACTTTTTTGGTTAGAGGCATGAACTCCTCGGTAGTCTGGTGAAATCTATAGACCCCCTTCTCAGAATCATATTTTTAAATGCATAAAATAAAATATACAGGATTACAAAGAAAACAATGATATCAAAATACAGATGTCTACATTAAAACACACACACACACACACACACACACACACACACACACACACTCTCACTCTCTCTCTCTGGAGTTCTCAGATCCCAAGTTAAGAATCCCTGATTTAGACAATTATCAATAGGTTGGGAAAGACTTTGCAAGCTGTTTCTCAGAGATTCAGAAATCATTATGAAGAGTACACCAACTACTAAACAGTAAGGAAGTATTTGTTACCATTCTATTATCGCTTTCATTTCCCACCTTATGCTGTTTGGTTATGATTTTGATTTCTGTACTTAGTGTTTGTGACTGTTGAAACTATTCACGCGCAATGTCCAGTTTGATGTGAGATTTTGTTTGCCACAGTACTTAAATATGAGGTGCCTGATAGGTAATATACATGAAAGGCAGGAGTGGGTGAACAGGAGGCTAAGAAAACGAACTGTAACATCTCCATTTCTGCCTTGTCCCAATTATTACTGTTTTTATTTTTATCCAATTTTTGACACTGTTATGGTTATTACGATGAAATTATTGAAGTATGTAGCTAACATGGGACTAAGATTCTCTTGGTCCATTGTTTTTCATTTGTTAATGATAAGAATAGACTTTTTCAGATAGCACTTCAGAGTTTGGTATAGATTAACTTGCTGGATCCTCACAATAACCCAAGGTGGCATAATTACCCCCTTTTATGGCTGAGCACACTAAGATTTAGAAAGGGGTCATGACTCACATGTGGCCATCCTGTCTGTGTCAGAGGTGTACTTTGAACCTAGGCCCTGTTGACTCCAGCTTCAGCCCAAGATCAAGCTAGCTCTGACCAAAGTTTGTAGAGGGAAACCTATCATCTTAGAATGGCTTCACTCAAAGTGGACAATACACGAACACAAATCTTCACAGAGAACACACTGAATTTTAGGGGACAGAGAAGCCATAAAAGGATAATTACATACTGGGTGCTTGCTTGGATTTAGTAATTGGCTTAGGTTTTTATTGTTGTTCAGTCATTTCAGTCATGTCCAACTTGGCCAAGATGCTTCATGACCCCATCTGGGGTTTTCTTGGCAAAGATACTAGAGCAGTTTGCCATTTCCTTCTCCAGCTCAATTTACAGATGAGGAAACTGAGGCAAACAGGGTTGAGTGATTGCCCAGGGTCACATAGTTACTATCTGAGGGTGGATTTGAACTCACGAAAATGAATCTCCCTGATTCCAAACTCAGTGCTCTATCCACTGCACCAGCTAGCTGCCCAAATGAGTTTAGGAGCAAAGGATAATTAAAAGAGAGGTCACTGGAAGCAAAGACAAGACTGTTTTGAGACCTGCCCCTAATAACCAGCAATGGTCACAATAAAGTTTGGAGCAGGGAGATTAAGAGAGTGGCCTTGTGGGGCAGCTAGGTGTTAAAGTGGACAGAGTACCAGTCCTGGAATCAGGAGTACCTGAGTTCAAATCCAGCCTCAGACACTTACTAGCTGTGTGACTGTGGACAAGTCACTTAACCCTGATTCTGCTCCCACCCCCCAAAAAACCAAATACACACATACACACACACACACACACACACACACACACCACACACACACACAAAGAGAGAGAGTGGCCTTGAAAGCACCAAGTCAGGTCTAATCCAAGAGGGAAAGGAAGCATTAAATTCAACAGTGGCTTCCACATGCCTGTGGTCATATTAAGGACCCGAATCCAAGGCAGAGCACTGAATCGAGCTGAGAATTAAGCTGCTGTTTTCCTAAAAATTACAAGAGCAATAATAGTAGTGAAGGAAATGCCAGAAAGATTCAGCACTATAAACAATTTTCTTCTCCTTGAATGTGCACTTTTAGTAACTTCATCATGTCCCACATATCATATGCCTTATCAGGGCAAACTGTGGCTGTAAAGATTTGAACACCTATGAGAGATTTAGAGATAGAAGAGACCCTGGTGGTCAGTGGCTAAATGACTAATTAGAAATACTCTCCCAGGATTGCAGAGATACTTATTAGTGACTAAGTAAGGTACGTAATTGGTAAAGGCCTAAGAAAGAAGGCACACAAGAAACTATAGCTGTCTGGACAATCTTAAGGATTCTTCTGCTCCATCAAAGCGGATGAGCTAAAGAGATACTAAAATTGCCACTGTTCTTCTTGTAGTAAATGAAAATCCATATTGCTTGAAAGTAAAGACAATTCTTACCTAGTATGGGCAGGGACAAGTGGCTTAAGCAGGCTGCTCTTTGAGGGCTGAAATACACACCTCCCTGTACCCCCTGCACACAGCCTGGCCAGTACAGCAGGTTGTATGGAAAAGTCAGAGTTGGTTGAGAGTGTATCCTTTCCCAAGGTCTTCTTCACCTCCAAAACCCTATTTAAAACTATTCTCCCATCCTGGAAGTATTCCCTTATTAATGTTATTAGACTGTTACCAACAACGATACTTGAAAATTACATAAGCCTCTTACATGTTCATCTCACTTCATCTTCACAACAATCCCATGAGATAGATACTACAGGGTATTAGTTACAGTTATTCCCATTTTACAGATGAAGAAACTGAGGCTTAAAGAGCTTACCAAAGATCACATGGTGAGTTAGTGTTTGAGGAAATATATAAAATTCTCTTACATCCAACTCTGGTGTTTTTTCCACTCACCGACCATAATTCCCTGATGAAGCTTCTACTCTCTTTAGCAAGTGAGTACTCAATTTACATCTTTTCTGCACTTATGTATGTGCTGCCTTCTAAGCATTACATCTGTACCTGGGGCATATACCTTATTTGCTTTATTTGACTGGGAGCTCAGCGAAGGTAAAGACTATAGATTGCCTCTCTTCCTTTCTCTAGGCCAGCATTTCCCAACTTCTAGCCACAAGTTCATGGCAAATTTTTGCTTGTATGGCAGAAAAAGCTTTGCAAAGTCCTTTGTTTAAAAAATATTTTAACTTCAAAAATGGACCCCTTCTCCTCCTCACCCTTCCCATCCCCATCCTCTAAGGTATCTACAACCTCATTATTGAGCCTGCAGAGAGCTGGACAGTCTTCAAGAGAAAATTTAGATATTTTACCAGTCCAAAGCATAGTTCTGGTAGGGAAATAGTTCTCTAGTTCTCCCCTTGTGCCCAGCACAGCACTTGGCTCATCCACGTAGGATGACTGTGACCACAGCACAGAGCCTACAGTCTGATGTGGCATAGATTTAAGAGTGCTCTAGAGTGCCTTACCTGAGCCATGTCGCCCACTTGACTTAACACGATCCAACAGTTCAAGAGTTTCTTACTCCTTTGGTTAGTGTGTATTCAGAGAGAACTATCAACATTTCACTGTGGCCTCCTCATTCCATGTCCTTTGTATGCCCTTGCTGCCATACTGAGAGGCCCTGGGCTGCCGCTGGAACTCAGCGCTCTCCAAAGAGAAGATGATGTCCCCACAACTGCGCTCTTTAACCTCGGTCGTCGTTTCCTGATGGACTCCTGCCCGTTCTCAGAATAAAAGGAAAACCTGCCCGTCTTCAGTGTCCAGCTCAAGTCTCTGGAGGTAACTTTGAATCTGTCTCAGAAACCTGAAACTACAAAGTGAGACGGAGGTTACCGAGATCCATCGCCTGAGAAACAGACAATGGTACTATGGGGTGGAATTATTTTATGAGTTCTTCTACGAAGCTCACACAGAGGAGTCCTGTTAAGTCAGAAATACATAGACTATTAGAACTGAAAGGGATGTTAGAAATCATCTAATCCAACTTCTTCATTTTATAGATCAAGAAACTGAGTCCCAGAGAGGTTACCTGTCCGAGAAATAACTAAATGTTATCACTAGGAATCAAAATTTAACTCCCAGCAAATCAGTTAACATTTACTAAAGCCCCTAACATTCATCAGGCATTGTCCTGGGTGCTAGGAATATAAAGGTAAAAAAGATTCTACTGTCAAGGAGCAGTGACAATCATGGGAAATAACATATAAGAAGATAGAAAGTAAGTAGAAAGTAATTTTTTAGGGGGAAGGAGTCAGGCACAGCTGACTGAGCATTTATGAAAGGCTTCCTGTAAGAGGCATCGAATAAGCTAAGTATTGTAGGATGCTAAGAAGTTTTACAAAGAAGTAGAAATGAAAAGGGAGAGAATTCCAGGCCTGAGGGACAGTCCATTCAAGAGCAAAGACAAGAGACTGGATGTTATGTGTGAGGAACAGCAAATAGGCCAGCCTGGCCTGCCTGGAGAGTGCAGAGGAGTAAGGTATAGACAAGTCTGGAGAGGTAGTCTGGAGCCAGACTGGGAAGGGCTTTAACTGCCAGACAGAAGAATCTACATTTTATCCTAGAAGCAAAAGGGAGCCAGTGGAGTTGGATTTCTTGACCTGGGATCCATGGAAAGCAATCAGAGGGTCTGTGAACTTAGATGGAAAAGAATTACATCTTTACTTCAATACAGTTGGTTTCCTTTGTAATACTCTATTTTTTCATGCATTCAACATTATTCTTCGGGGTCAGTGAATTTCACCAAAGGGATCCATAACATAAAAGATTATGAACTCCGATACTGGAGCTTTTTGAGCAAGGATGTGTTAGGGTCAGACCTGTGCTTGGGACCTCACTTTGACAGCAATTTGAAGGATGGTTTGGAGATGGGAGGGACCAGAGTACAATCAGGAGGAAGCTATTGCAGTAGTCCAAGGCGATATGGGTCTAGGCTAGAGTGGTGGCCACATTAGTGGGGAGACAGGGTCAGACTTAAGAAACGCAGGGGAGGTAGAATTCATAAGACTGGGCAACTGCTTGGAGATGACTCAAGTCATTTAACCCGGGTAATGGAAATGAGGCAGGTAAGAAGAGGGTCTGATTGTCAGTGAGAGGGGACAATAAATGAAATCTATTTTGGACACAGATCATAGATCTAGAGATGAAAACGACCTCAAAGGCCATCTTGCCTAGCTCTTCCCTTTGCAGATGAAGAAACAAACAGGTTCAGGAAGATTAAGTGATTTTCCCAACTTCAAGAGTTTAAGAAATCTATAGGCTATACAATTAGAAATGTACTCAAGATGAGAGTAGGAATGTATGGATATGTAAATTTGGGAGTCATCAGCATAGAGATAAATGAACTCAGGTAAATCACTTAAGACTACACAGAAAAGAGCAAAGGGAAACAGGCAAAAAGTATCCCCAAAACCTAAAGTGTCCAGGAAGAAAGCAATAAACGTTGCAGACAGTGCAAGAAGAGGATTGAAAAAGGTCAAAGGATTTGGCAATTTGGTAGTCACAGGTGCTTTCGGAAGGAAGAACTTAGTTGAGGGATAAGGCCAAGAAGCCATGGTGAAAAGGGTTGAGATAGGGAAGGAAGTAGTGATTTCAGTATAATTCTTGTTTTTCCCTATAAGTTTGGTGGCGACAAGGAAGAAAGAAACAGGACATAGCTTTAGGGGATTTGTAGGGTCTACAATTTTTTTTAAAGTGGGGGTCACTCGTGCTCCTTCCTCTACTCCACACTGTATCTATCACCCCATACTTCAGCTTGAAAATTACTCGTCGGAGGCCCGGGAAACAATTCTATCCCTTCCATCTGATAAACGGCAAGAGACTTGACAAAGGTCCCCCCAACTAGTTGAGGACATGCAGGGCTCCAGGGGCTCACTCCCTCTAACCTCGTCCCCGGGTCAGGAGGGAGACTGGGCAGCATTAACTCCGGGCGACGAACAATGCCCCAGAGGCTGGGGAGACCAGCCCCCCGGGGAGGAGGTGCACGGGTCCGGCGTCTCGCACACAAAGCAGCGGGGGGAGTGGGGGGAGCGGAGCGAAGAGACCCGGGGAGCTTTGGAGGGACCCCTAGCAGCGGCCGCCGCGCCCGAGAAAAGTTTCTGGGAAGCGCCGGCAGGCAAGGCAAGCAGTCAAGCAGTCGGGCGGAAGTGGGACGCGGCCTGCGGGCTGGGCCCCACGTGGGTGCAGGCTCCGGGCCGGGCCGCTAGGGGTGCGAGACGCAGCGGGCAGCCCGAGCTCCCCGGGGCAGGCGGGCGGCGCGCTGAGGACGGGCGCGGGGCCGCGAGAGTGCCGAAGGAGCAGAGCGGCCGAGCTGCGTGCTCGCGCCCGACGCCCCCCCAACCCCCCGCCCCCTCGGCCCGGAGACGAGGCCGAGCGCGCGCGCGCTCGGGCAGGATTGGCCGGGCCGGGGGTGTAGGGTGTCGAGAGGGGGTGGGGAGAGAGAAGTGCGCGCGCGCGCGCTGCCGTCTGCCGCTGCTCCTCCCGCTGCTCCTCCTCCTCCTCCTCCTCCTCCTCCTCCTCCCCCGCCTGCTCCGCACGCGCCCGCGCTTCTCCCCCGCGGCCTGCGAAGCGGCCTGAGGCGCAGTCGTCTGCCTGAGTCGCGGTTTGCTCCCAGGGACGGGCTCTTACCTGCCGGGCGCAGCCTCCAGCAGTGTTCCCGTACGGGAGAACCCCTCCCCCAGTGCTCACTCTCCGGTGCCAGCCCCGCCGCTGCTGTTGCCCCCGCAGGGACCGAGGCAAGTTTACAAACACCAGCCCGGGGCCCGTTTCCCCGGAAGCACTTTCCCCCTCCCCCTCGTCCTCTCCGCCGAGCGGCGGCATCCACTTCCGGGCCCAGCCGACTCGGGTGGGAGAGAGAAAGCGGGAGGGAAAGAAAGCTGTAGGGCCAGAGGTGCAGCCTGGGGGGCGGGACTAATGGAGTTGGGGCGGGAGCGCACATGCGCAAAGGAAGGGGGTGCTTGTCCCGGCAGCCATCTTGGTAGAGGGCATCTGAGTGGGTCACGTGGACAGCAGAGGGGTCGGGGGCGGGGGAATTAGCAACAAAAGTGGGTAGCCGAGAGGGTCTTTAAAGGTTGTTGGGAAGCAGTTCTAGAATCTGCCTGTCGTTCTTTTTGCTTCCAAGATGCTATTCCTCTGGTTCTTCCTGATAACACCCCCCCCCTTCCCAGAATCCTTCATTGTTCAATAGGATAGTTAGTATTTAGCATTTAAACACAGAAGGGAAAACTAAAGAGCTGCCTTTTCTTCCTCTTTCACTTGTCAGAAATGTTGTATGTAGGGTCAGCAAGGTGGCGCAGTGGACAGAGCTCCGGCTTTGGAGTCGGGAGGACCTGAATTCAAATGTGGCACTTGGCACTTACTAGCTGTGTGACCCTGGGCAAGTCAGTTAACCCTGATTGCCTCACCAAAAAGCAAAAAAAAAAATGTTGTATGTAGAGTTTCTTGTCATACCGTGATTTCACTGGATATCCTGCAATGTGCCTTTCGCTCCTAAGATCCTGTGACCAGTTCTTATTTCCCCGATCAAGAACGAGGGTTGCTTAACCTGGAGTTTGTGAACCTTTTTTTATTAGTATTTTGATAACTGTTTCAATATAATTGTTTTCCTTTGTAATATTTTATTTTGTGACTTTGAAAACTTTATTTTTTTGAGAAGGGGTTGGTAGGCTTCTCCACCAGACTGCCAAAGGGTCAGGAGTATTTCTTTCTTCAGTTATTACACATTACTCCTTTCAGGTGTTGCACTCTGTTTTCCCACCCGGTTAGCCTCAATTCCTGGACTGCTCTCCGTCTTCTTAGAACTCCTGGTTCACTTCAGGTTTTAGTTCAAGTGTTGTGTTCTGCATGATTTTCTTTGGCCATCTTTCCCCAGCCTCCCTCACTTCCAAGCTGATAGTGCTTTTCTCTCTCTTTTTTCTTCAAGTCTGTCAGAAATGAATTTTATAGAATTTAACGGTGTATAGAGTGCGTGTCCTAGAGTCAAGAAGATTCACCTTTGTGAGTTCAAATCTGACCTCAGACAATTGGTAGCTGTTTGACCCTGGGGAAGTCACTTCACCCTGTTTGCCTCACTTTCCTCATCTGTAAAAAATGATCTGGAGAAGGAAATAGCAAACCACTCCCGTATCTTTGCCAAGATAACATCAAATGGGGCCCTGCAGAATCAGATACAGCTGAACAGCAACAACAACCTAGCCAGGCTTTTTGTTGTTGTTGTTGTTTCACCTTTTGCTTTTTTTTGGGTTTAGTTTATTTCTTAAATAATTTACTTTTAGTTTTCAACATTCACTTCCATGAGATTTTAAGTTTTAAATTTCTTCCCTCTTCCTCTCCTTTCCCCTCCTCAAGACAATGTGAAATCTGATGTAGGCTTTTCTGATACATTCATATTAAGCATATTTCCTCATTAGTCATAATGTAAAGAAGAATTAGAACCAATAGGAGGAACCTGGAAAGAAGAAACAAAACAAAACAACAAAAGAAAAGGAGAGCAAATAGTAAGCTTCCATCTGCATTCAGACTCCATAGTTCTTTCTCTGCATGTGGATAGCGTTTTCCTTCGTGAGTCTTTTGGAGTTGTCTTAGATCCTTGCATTGCTGAGAAGAGCCAAATCTATCAAAGTCGGTCATCAGACATGGCTGTTATGATGTACAATGTTCTCCTGGTTTTGCTCACTTCACTCAGCATCAGTCCATACATACAGGTCTTTCCAGGTTTTTCTGAAATCCACCTGCTCATCATTTCTTATACCACCATGGTATTCCATTACTTTCACATACCACAACTTGTTCAGCCATTCCCCAGTTGATGGGCATCCCCTGAATTTCCAATTCTTTGCCACCACAAAAGGAGCTGCTATAAATATTGAAGCCTTTCTAGCTTGGAGAGAAAGATCTCCAGAAATGGCAGTCTTTCATGCCCTAGAATATAACTCTCTGCCCTAAGATAATTTGACATAATATTTATAGGAATCTAGAAGAAGGAAAAAGATCATAATACATTAAAATATAGTTTTGGGCTAACATTCTGGAACTACTTAATTCTTTCCTGCACCACTCCTTTTAAGTACTTCAGAATTCAAAAAAGAAGACAGTGTCCTTACATGGGTCATGGCACCAGGCACCCCAGATGGGAGGGGTGGCCGTGAGCCCATCTAGACAAGAGTCAGGTTTGGTTATGGCGCTTGCTCCATTTCACAGGAAGGCCCTAGCCTTTGTGATTTCAACTTTTCTAAAAGAAAGAGTCTGGAAAGAGTTTTCATCCGGAGAAATTTCTCACTATTTCTAGAGAAACTGAAAAGAAAGTTTTTAATATGCTTTCACAAATTCTCCTTTTTGTAGTTTTGCACAATTTGAAACATAGTCTATTAATTTAAATTTTGTACTTGCTCCGCAATAGCAAGACACATCCCTCTAGTTGGTCCAAAATATGGTTTGCTTTTTCAAATGGCAGCAGAACAGTAGGACAACAAAGGCCATTCTCAATTCTGTGACTATATACCAAGTGGCACATGAGGGTTGAGACATTATCTTGATTTGGGTACAGAAAACATTTTATCTAGTGCTATTACTGAATGGAGATTCTGAATCAATAACTGTAATATCCCTCCACAACTATCATTCTCATCATGAGACAGTGTACTTGCTATTACCTCATCAAGCACTACAACTGTGTCCTCATCTCAGAAGCTTGTGCATACTGCAACTGGTTTTAAAGGTCAGAAGGTCCAAGAATTCCCTATTCCATACCAAAAAAGTTGAGTTATTCCAGGAACACTCACTGCTAGGCACTGAGGTTACCTAGAAGGGGTTGGTAGGTGGGAAGGGAGGTTGAGCCCCTCACCTCCGGGTGAATTAGTCTCCCATATACAGCCTTCCCAGTGTCTAAGTCAATGTCCAGAGTCCCTTCATGGGGCCATAGGCATAGAAAGTGAGTTATGGTTCTCCTGCAAGTTTACTTTGCCTCTGCTTTGCATATGTCTTATACCTGTACATGTGCTTATTGTCTTACCGGTAAAATGGAAGCTGTTTGAGGACAGGGATGCAATTTGGCTTTTGTCTTTATGTCCACCTCAGTGCCTGATGGGTAGTAAGTACTTATATGCTTGTTGGTAGAAAAACCCAAAGTTCTCTCATATTTATCTTTCTGGAGGGCATGGCTCATAGTCCATTGTTTCCTCTCTGGAGAGTTCCCTTTTTAAATATAGCTCTTGAAGGTTTATGAAGTACTTTACATATGTTATCTCATTTGATCCTTACCATAACATTGTGAGGTAGTTGTTATTATTATCTACATTTTACTGGTAAGGAAACAGGTCTGAAGGGGTTAAACGACTTGACTTGCCCTTGGGTCGCTGAGAGTCCAAGGCAGGATTAGATTGGTGGCCTTCTTATCTCTACATCTAACGCTATCTAACACTGTACCACCTAGCATTTCATATTGATACAGGTTTTTTTTGCATCACCTACATTTCCCAGTGCAACCTCTCCCTCTCCCAAAAAGCCGATCCTTGTAACAAAGAATAAAAAAAAGAGAAAGAATTTAGCTAAACCAATCCTTACATTAAAAAAATCGAAAATATTTATAATGTTCCCTACCAGGGGCCGTGCTTTTTCTTTGCAATTTTGCAACATTCGCTTTTGACTGTTTTGTGGTGGTGCTTTCCATTCATATTGTTTTGTAGTTATTATGTACATTTTCTTGTCTCTGCTTTCTTCCTCTGCATCACTTTATGGGAGGGAAAAGGAGAAAGAAAAGGGAGGGGAGATAGAAGAGGGGGAAGAAGTAGTGAGGGTAAAGGGGAAGAAAAGGGAGGGAGCTAATAGAAGGGAGGTGGGACTGAGGGAGGCAGTGGTCAGAAGCAAAACACTAGTGAGGAGGGAAAGGGAGAAAGGAGAAAGAAACTCATAAATGGGGAAAAGAGGATGGAGAGAAAGACACAGATAAGTAATCATAACTTTGAATGTGAATGGGATGAATTCTCCCATAAAATGGAAGCAGATGGCAGAATGGATTAAAAACCATAATCCTACAATGTGTTGTTTACAGGAAACACAATTGAAACAGAGGGACACACACAGGGTAAAGGTAAAAGACTGGAGTAGAATATATTATGCTTCAGCTGAAGTGAAAAAAGCAGGGGTAGCAATCCTGATCTCAGACAAAGCCAAAGCAAAAATACATCTTATCAAAAGAGATGAGGAGGGAAATTACATCCTGCTAAACGGCACCATAGACAATGAAGTAACATCATTACTAAACATATATGCACCAAATGGTATAGCATCCACATTCTTAGAGAAGTTCAGGGAGTTACAGGAAGAAATAGCAAAACTATACTAGTGGGGGACCTCAATCTCCCCCTCTCTGAACTAGATAAATCTAACCACAAAATAAACAAGAAAGAAATTAAGGAGGTGAATAGAATATTAGGAAAGTTAGGTATGGTAGACCTCTGGAGAAAATTGAATGGGGATAGAAAGGAATATACTTTTTTATCGGCGGTACATGGCACATTCACAAAAATTAACCATGTACTACTAGGTCATAAAAACCTCACAAATGCTGAAAGGCAAAAATATTAAATGCATCCTTTTCAGATCATGATGCAATAAAAATTTATGTAATAAGGGCCATGGAAAGATAGACTGAAAAATAATTGGAAACTAAATAATCTAATCCTAAAAACCCCCCAACAAATCATAGAAATAATCAATAACTTCATTCAAGAGAATG